CCCGTGCTTCTTAGATTGTATTTGCTACCTTTATGAACTATCTTTGAAAATGGACCCAGGTTGGTTACGCATCACCAGCGGAGAATGGGATCATGCAAGATTTGGGCCTCTCTGTACCAGCAGTTAGTACTCTCCAATTATGGATTAGATTTTATCATATCTTAATCAACATGTTGACGTCTAACTCAGATGATCATTAATTTTTAACGAAAAATGATGAGTTTAAAAAATAATGAATAGTTGAGTGACCATTTTGTAACTTTTAATAGTCGATGGACTCATCAAAATAACTTCTTATAGTTGATGAACCATTTTATAACTTTTAATAGTTGAAAGACTCAACAAAATAGTATCCTATAATCGGGATCATTTGTGTACTTTCGCAAATGTAAACATAAAATACTGCTAAAAGAAATTAGGTGGGTATTTCTTTATTTATGTAGAAAAGGTTGAAAGTTGTATCATGGAAAACAAAGGGCAGAGATATAGATTCAACGTTTGACTTGGTTCTTCAACAATTTCAGAAGTAGGAAAAGCGGAGAGGGAAAGCATGGAAGAAGGGCTGTTAACAGGCAGATATGGACCGCCAAATGAAACAAAACCAAGCATCAATGGTGGCGCCGGCGGTGACAGTATTACCGGCGACCTTAACATGCCATCATCGCCGGCAGCTTCCTCATTGACATCTGTTCTCGTCTTCAGTACGTTTATTTCCGTTTGTGGCTCTTTCTGCTATGGCTATTCTGTAAGCTCTTCCCTTTCTTCTTCTTCTTCTTCATATCCTCAACGTGAAGATCTTCAACATTTTTTAACAAAAAGAACCTTAAATTTATATTAATATGTAAGTATATGATATAATGAACTAACTTTGAAAATGAACCCAGATTGGTTATTCATCACCTGTGCATAATGGGATCATGGAAGACTTGAGCCTCTCTGTGTCAGCAGTTAGTGCATGCCAATCTTTTCTACTTTTTTTTTCCTACTCAATTTACTTTCTTAAAGCACAAGAAAGCTGTAGGTGACTTTATTTAACTATCTTACTCGGATTATTGTGAGTGATAAACACAGGTATAGTTAATTTTTTCGAAGTTTATCTCCTATTTATATTTGAATATGTATTGGACATAGATATAGATATAGTGCAGAAACGAAGAATCCTAGTAATATAGATGTGTAATCTTTGACACCAATTTGCAGTACTCTGTTTTCGGTTCAATAATGACAATTGGAGGAATTGGTAGGAGCAATTTTAAGTGGGAAGATAACTGATCTTATCGGTCGAAAACGGGTAAGTTATATTTGTTTGGTTAAGCCTTTACATATTCTTCTAAATTAATGTGTTCATATACTCTTGAGAAACAGACAATGTGGTTCTCTGATGTCTTCTGCACTGCTGGGTGGCTATCAATGGCATTCTCAAAGGTTAACTTCCACTTTAAATTATTTCCTTTCCGGTAAAGCTACGCTTAGCTTTGAATTCGATAATGGAACAATTCGTAAGAAAGATCGTAAGAAGTGTATGTTTACTTTCTGTTGGAAGAATGCCTTGTGGCTGGACATCGGAAGGCTGTTGATCGGAATCAGGGTTGGTGTGATTTGTTACATGGTAATGTACTAAAGTTTGTAGTTCATACATATTTCATCAGCTTGAAACAGTTTTGAAGTAACTTAACGATGATATATAGCTGAGCTTTCTATATGAAAACAGGTACCTGTTTACATAGCTGAAATAACACCTAAGAGTCACCGTGGATCATTTGCATCGGCAAATCAGGTAAACTATACTAAACCCATAATTGAAAATGTGATTTTTCAGCTTATCGTTAATTCGATTTAAGCTTCTTAATGGTGCAGTTGATGACTACTTGTGGGTTTGTACTCATATTTTTCACTGGAACAATCATTTCGTGGCGCACACTGGCTATGATCGGTATCTACAATTTTCATATTAACTTAAGCTAAAGGTAGTGTTAGTTTACTTAAGTTTTTTATCCATTCCGTTTCCTTCAGGTGCAATCCCCTGTGTAGTACAGATTATAGGCTTGTTTTTTATTCCGGAGTCCCCTAGATGGCTGGTAAGCCTAACATAGTAGTCTCCCAATCTTTGGATGCTTTTCAAGTACACAACATGTTAAATCGAACACGTGAATGCAAAACATGACCGACTTCTGCAGGCAAAATCCTGTCGAGAGAAAGAGTTTGAGGCTTCTTTGAAGTGTCTAAGGGGAAAGGACTCGGACATTTCCGAAGAAGCTTCTGATATCAGAGTAGCGTATTGGCTTGATATCTTGTTACTTCTGTGAACACATAGTTTTCCTCATGATAACAAGAAATGTTATGTGCTTACAATATCTTGTAGGTTTATATGGAAACTCTTGAGCAACAGACAGAAGAAAGTTTCCTCGAATTGTTCCAAAGGAGATATGCTAATGCACTCATTGTGAACTTCGAGTAACATTCGATTAGTATGCTAATTTCTTTTAAAGACTTTCCTGATGATTTCACATATGGCTTCTTGAACTCTGCAGATTGGAGTTGGCCTAATGTTATTGCAACAACTAGGAGGAAATAGTGCTATGGCATATTATACCGGTAGCATATTCAACGAAGCCGGTAAATTTATGTCTTCCATGTTGTTTCCTATATAATTATTGCAGCAGAAATTATTCAAAGAAGACACAGTTTTGTTTGCCACAGGCATATCAGGTAACCTTGGCCTTCAAGTTTTAGCTATTGTACAGGTACCTTCATGGCTTCTTTTCCAACTTGGAGTTGATGTAAAATTATGTTCCAAGCATTTCCGAGACATGCCAATTACATTGTTGTTTGCAGATTCCGGCATCTATTTTAGGTTTATTTTTAATGGATAGATCCGGTAGACGACCGCTCCTATTGGTTAGTTTCATAAAAAATTCATTTCAAGATGGTAAAATTGTTGAACAAACAAGTAAATATGGAATCAATCCAATTTTATGCAGGTTTCTGCAAGTGGACTGTGTTTTGCTTGTTTTCTTCAGGGACTGTCATTCTACTTTAAGGTATTGCAAAATTTAGTTAATTTTTTTCAAGAGATTGTCCTTCCTGTTTAAAGCTTTCCAATTCTTTCTTTCTTTTTTTTTTCCTGAAAACTTTGATGCTATTTTACAATCAGGAATTCCCCGATCTGAAGGCAGTTACTCCGTCTGTGGCATTTACCGGCACATTGGTACTTCAGTCTGTCTTACATATTTTACCTATTTTGTCAATGTTGTAATCATGAACACAATACATGATTATTTGTAGAGCCTGCATGCATCTAAACAACTATAAGTACATATTAAGCCAAACTATATGTGTAAACTGATCAATACTGCAAACACAGATCGGTGCTACATTCTACTCGATAGGCTTGGGAGGAATACCGTGGATTATAATGTCGGAGGTATGTGCCAATTCCGAGATCGAAATCTTCGCCGTTGCTTGCATATCTAGCTTTCCCCAATAGCTGTAGGCAAGAGATTCATTTGACTAAAACATGGTCCATACTATTTGTCAGATATTTCCTATCAATGTTAAAGCTCAAGCTGGAAGCCTGGTGACTCTAGTCAATTGGTCCACTGCTTGGGTCATTACTTACAGTTTCAATTTTATGATGGAATGGAGCGCAGCAGGTCATTCTCCGTTTCTTCTCTAACAGAGTAAATTAAGATTACATTTCTGAACTAAAATGTATCAGCAAATATGATTGCAGGAACATTTTTCTTTTTCTTGGGAATCTCAGGGTTAACTGTTGTATTCGCGGCCGTGTTGGTCCCGGAGACAAAGGGGAGAACACTGGAGGAAATACAAGCATCTATCGCTCATTTTCTGTACATTTAAGACATAAGGAATGGACAGGAATGCACCAATATGTATAAGCAATACGCATATGGCTTACTTTCATCCGTATATTTACAAGTGATCATTCCCAAGGATGAACAATGCTGGTGAACCCTTCTGCATTTCCACATATCGGTCTTAAAAGACCCTGCATATTACATCTGTATACTGTATACGTGCAATGTACTGATACATTAATACGTTTTAGTAGGATGTAACAACCCAAAAACCTTGTATTATCAAAATAGCGAAACAAACAAGTCCCTGTACTGATCAGTACTGCAAACTCAGGTCTGTGCTAAAACTTTCACAATAGGATTGGGGGAATACCATGGATCATAATGTCAGAGGTATGTAGCAATTCCGAGATCGATGCTCGCCCTAAAATCTGGAAACAATAGATTCGTTTAACTAAAACATGGTCCATTTCCCTCCCTCCCTATCAGAGTAAATTAACATTACATTTCTGAACTAAAATGTATCAGAAAACTTCATTGCAGGACCATTTTTCTTTTTCTCAGTAACCACAGCCTTAACTGTTCTATTCGGGGCCAAGTTGGTACCGGAGACAAAGGAGAGAACAATGGAGGAAATACAAGCTTCGACCACTCACCTGTTTTCCGTAACATATAAGATTTAATCTTGCATGGCTTTGAATGCACCATGTTTACAAACAACACATATGGTTTACTTTCATTCTTGTTTCACAAGTGACCATTTCCAGGGAGGAACAATACTGGTGAACCGTTTCCATTTCCTCATATTGGTCTTAAAAGACCCTGTATACATTTGTATACTGTAAACTGTACACTTGTATGATATTGAGACATTCAATTTTTTTAAATATCTAAACCTGGAATTTGAGTTCTCTTTGGCAAATGGCAGCTAAATTTGGAATTTTCTTTTGCAGGCAGCTCAGCCGTTCAAGTAACTGTACTTCATTTAGAGAGACTCTTATAAATATCAAAATATTATAGGTTTTGGCTTTTTGAACATTTAATTCATATGAACAAATGAAAACCATTTACTCAATATGCATGAAATATTCAAACAATCCAACAAATATCACATTTCATGTGGGGACCCTCAGGCCCAATGGATAACTCTTATCATTTCTTCAAACTGAAAAATTAAGTTATTGTCCTTTTGTTCTTTACACCACTTCCAATGAAACTCCTTTACTCTGTTGCTTAATTATTGGCTACAGTTCTCTTGCTTGAATTTTTGAGAGATGAGTAGACAGAAAATAGAAGATGGTGAACTTTCAAGTTCTTTGATAGTTAAAGAGAAGCCTCCGGATGGAGCTGGACATGGTAGTTCCGGTGAAGAACAAGGTGGAATTGGAACTACGACTTCTGCAACAACTATGGTTGTTCTTAGCACCATTATCGCTGTTTGTGGATCTTATGTTTTTGGGACTGCTGTAACTATCTGTTTTCAATATTGAAATGATTAGTTTTACTTATAATCTTAATCTGCAAAGTAAAGGGGTTTCCCTTATCCTGCTTGACCATGAATTTTGATTACAATGACTGTTTAATGGCTAAGTTTGACCTTAATTCTACACAGTACCTGAACTGTACTTGTTCACCTGTTGAAAAGCAATAAGACTTAAGAAACTCGTATTCGGATTCGCCGATGGTAATCATACTGTTTCATTCGCCTTACAAAAGTTGAACTAATATGATTAATTTACCAGATTGGATATTCATCACCTGCTCAGACTGGAATCATAGTTGATCTGGGTCTCTCTGTGGCTGAGGTAAAGTATAAATAGATCTGTTTCCTTTATACAATATTTTTTACCTTATAATTTTATTTCAAATGCCTTTATGCAACCTTTGTTACTGAGCTGCATGATCATGTTAGGTAAAATTGTACCCATTACAAGAAAAGCTCAAAAGCTGGCATATTTGTTCTGTAACCTAACTGGTTAAGGTTGGAGTTGGCCTAATGGTTCTGCAACAATTCGGGGGAGTCAATGTCATTGCATTTTATGCTAGTTCAATTTTTATATCAGCTGGTATGTTAAGAACATTTTCATGTTTATGAAACAATAGAAGAACTATATAGGAAGTTCAAACTGGAAAATAATTTTATCTCAAGTTTTTTGTGACAGGATTTTCCGGTAGCGTTGGAATGATAGCAATGGTTTTCCTTCAGGTCGGTTCATCATGACCTGCACTATCATCAGAGTTCATATCATTTTGGTTAATATGCTTTTCTTAAAAACTGGAATAATCTTCTGCAGGTTCCAATGACAGCTTTGGGAGTAGTCTTTCTCGATAAATCAGGACGAAGACCACTTTTATTGGTACAAAAGCCTAGAAATGTATCTTCTATATATATTACATTGTGCAAATGTCCCTGCTGAAGTCTACTTATATCTACAGGTATCAGCAGCTGGAACATGCTTGGGTTGCTTCCTAGTTGGATTGTCATTTTTTCTTGCAGGTTCTACCAGATTTATCGATCTCGAATTTCCAAATCCTTTTCATGTTATATATTCTTTTCTCAAAAACATTAAGCTCGACTGCATACAGGACCTTCAACAATGGAAGGAAGCCACTCCTATATTATCACTTGTTGGTGTACTGGTAAATACAATGAATCAGTGTTTTAGGCAGTAGCTTTCATGAACAGAATCATCTAGTGCTGATACGTTCGACTCGATTTAGGTGTACACGGGATCATTTTCGTTAGGCATGGAAGGAATACCTTGGGTTATAATGTCCGAGATAAGTTTACCATGATCTAGATTAATTTGCAGCCTTCAATATTGTTGAAGAATCGGGTAAAGAAAACGAAAGAACACAAGAATCGGACAAGTATTTCAGATATTTCCCATAAACATGAAAGGTTCAGCTGGAAGCCTTGTGACATTGGTTAGCTGGTTAGGCTTTTGGATTATTTCCTTTGCATTTAACTTCCTCATGAAATGGAGCTCAACAGGTAAAAATCATTGCATCTGATATTGTCAACTTTATCATTTTAGCCACAGAATTTGACCTTTCTTTCCCATGTTACACTGTCTTCCAGGAACATTCTTCATTTTCGCCACCGTATGTGGTTCGACTGTTCTGTTCGTGGCGAAGCTGGTGCCGGAGACCAGGGGACGGACACTTGCAGAAATACAAGCTTCGATGAATCTGTTTTCGTAGGATAAGTGGATGGTGCATGAACAATCAATCAACTGATACTGAGAAATTCAAAGTCCTAACTTCAATGTCATATTTACACAATGTAAAAGCTTTTAGTTTTATACTAATTTAGAATCATCAAATTAGTGGAAATAAATTTATTATTCATGTCTATGAAATAAGGTCAATAGCCATCATAAAGTTAAAACATTATCTCCAACGTGCATGAAAAAGACATTATATATAAAAACAAGACGTTATTGTAAACCAAAAGACAAAATGGAAGATAATAATTAAAATAGATACACAAAAAAAATTCAAAGGACTTGGAGAATGATATATTTTTAGAAGAGGACTTGATCGATTGTCAGAAGGAGAAATCCGAATCATTCAAGTGCGGATTTGCTTTTGCCACGTGTGTCATTTGTTTATGTTGCGGATAAATAATATTTAAAATCATTATGATCAATAATTTAATAAATAATATTTTAAATTATCCATGTGATTGATCTAGAACGTTTTAACCACTTTAACCTTTAAATTTTAGATTAAATACAAGTATATGTGAGCACAACTACGAGTCTTGTTAGATTTTTGGTAGCCTCTTCAAGACCATTTAATCGAGGAAATTGATAGCCTTCAAGAATCCTCAAAGAGTTCATCCTAGTAAATCAATGAAGGTCTCTTTTAATCCGAAGGAAGAACCTCTACCATCATATATGATATAATCACGACCAATAAAAATTCGGAAGAATTTCCTAGAAGATTTATGACTCGTGCTAGGGCGAGAAAATTTCAAGTAGCTATGGAAAAAGTGTTTTGTCAAAATGGGAACTTGAAACATGAAACACCCATTTCAATGGAACATTGCAGCCTTTTACTTGTACATGAGTTTGCATGAACATTTATAAATTTGCATGTTTAATTATGTTTGGTAGTTCATTTATCGTACATGAATAAAGATGCATGCTAGTTCATTTATGCATGATATTTCATTTAAGTATGCTAGTTAATTTAAGTAAGTTAGTTTATTCAGTGTTAGTTTGTATGATATTTTCATTTTCATTTTATTCAAGTTAATAAGGACGAATATTTTCTATAGGTATTTTTAGATGCAATTTCAGCTAATGATAAAGTTTGGAATTTTAGTGACTGTTCGAATTCTTCAAGGGATAATAATTAAGGACTTCATACTCACCCTTTTATGAGAGGCTATTCGAATTCTCAAGAGGAAGAGAGCATTCAAGGGCTTTTTATTCATCCATTATGCCATTAAATGAGAATGAACGACAACAATCAAAGCTTTGTGAGTCCAACAGTTTCTCCAATGAGGACGCAAGGATGTCTACATTCATTCTAAATATGTCCACATTCATCCTTTATTCATCCTAGAGAATTAAGCTTTGGAATTTCAAAGGTCTCTTCTTTGTGGACAAATGGATGTCTAGATTCATCCTAGAGATGTCTACATTAATCCTAAAGCTCCAACATGACTATTCGGCTCCCAAGGGAAAAAGAAGGTCACAATCTATTACATGTGTCTTCATTACCATTAAGATAAAGGCTCTATTTCAAATTCTAGCCTTGAAACCCTATATAAATAGGTGTCCATTTCTCCATTGTAAACTTACAACTTTGATTTTATAAACACACTTAAGAGTGTTATCTTTTCTAGTTCTTTAAGAATTTTATTGGTTCATCAAGTTTAATCTTGTAGCATATTTTCATTCATTTTGTTATATCGTTGGTTCCTAGTTCTCTATAACTAGTGGGTCACGATCCATCCTCTTCCATATTAGGTTCAAAAACTTGTATGGTTTGAGTCAACATTCAAAATAGTGTTGGTTCTTCCTTGTTCCCACTGTTAGTGTATGTAAACGCATGGCATATAAGTTCACTGATGTGCATGATGGTTGTGCAGCTGAGGATTGGTTCACTGCAATTGATCAGTTGAAGTAGTTAATTTGTTGTGCAGTTAGTTACTTCATCTGTTATAGCTATAGTACTAGCTATAAATACTCTCCTTGAGAGTTGTAATACATACGCTTGAAAATAATGAATTTCAGAAGATTTGTTTCTCTCATTTTCTTTCTCTGTTCTTGTTTACATAGATTAGACATCTATTGATAATCTTTACATGGTATCAGTTGCCAAAACGATCCTGCAGTTTCTGGCTTCTTCTTTTCTTGGAGGTTTTTGAAGGTTCTTGCGTTTCTTTAAAGATGGTGGATTTGCAACAAGCTGGAGTTCAATCTCCGGTGAATACCACAGTTACTTCAACCTCATATGGTTCTTCAGTCCTGTCCAGTGTACAACATATACCCAAACAGGATGTCGTAAAGCTTACCGAGTCAACATACCTTCTTTGGAAGCATCAGGTGACCCTTATAATTGATGGCTATGGATTGCTGGCTTACATCTCTGGTGATAGTCCTGCTCCATCTCAGTTTGTTACAAATGAGTCTGGGCAACTTGAGGAAAATCCAGTGTATCCTGTGCATAGGCAACAAGACAAGTTACTTGCTTCGTGGTTGTTGACAACGGTTAGTATGGAGGTTTTGCCACATCTTACGGAGCTCACATCCTCTCGCACAATCTGGAATGCAGTTTCAAGATTGTTTGGAGTTCATTCTAGTGCCAAGATTTCTTCTCTCAGACACAGTTTGCACTCTCAGAGGAAAGCTGGCTTGACTGTGAGTGATTATTTAGCCAAGATCAAGACAATCTGTGATTTGTTGAGTGCTGCAGGTTGTGTTATACCTGAACAAGAACAAGTAAGTGTGATTCTTGCTGGATTGTCAATGGAATTCGAGTCCATTATTGCTATAGCATCTCGTGATGTAGTGTCACTTGATAGTCTCACTGAAATGCTCCTGGATTGTGAGGCTAGGCAGAAAGCTTTTTTAAGAGATGATATTACTGCAAATATGGTTGTGTAGTCGAAAGAAGAGAAAGAGACAAGGTCTCAGGCTGCCACTAAAAGAGATGCAATAGAAAAACATTTTTATTCGGGAGGTCAACAGGGAAGTCAGCAGGGAGGCTATCGTGGTCGAGGCAGAGGAAGGTTTAATAATTCAAATAGACCTCAGTGTCAGTTGTGTGGAAAGTTTGGGCACATTGTTCAGCGGTGTTATCGTCGCTTTGATCGAGATTTCATTGGAGTTGGTAGTGAAGATTAGTCTGCTGAGCAGTGGAAGAAACCAGCTGAACAGATAGTTCCTGTGAATGGACATGCGTATAATCACACGTTGCAATCTCCTATCTTCTACCACTATCCATCTAGCTTCATGCATGGTATGCCTTATTCTTTGACTCGTCAAGGACTGCCTTACTCCTCGAGTCAGGTAACGAATACCTTCCCTGGGGACTGTGGAACTCATCATGCCAAAACAGAAGGACAAGAGTCATTTGTTCATACTGCACCTACAACCTTTGTAACCACTGTGCCTAGTATGGCAGCAGCTCACAGTGTTCCAAACCACTCCAATGCTTTGTGGTATCCAGACACTGGTGCCACTCATCACGTATCAAATGATCTTGTACCATTCAACTCAGGTATGATATACAAAGGTAACAACACTCTTTTAATGGGAAATGGTGAAGGAATTAAAATTGATCATGTTGGTCAAGGCTTTCTGTCTTCTAGTCTTAGACCTCTAGTGTTACAGAATATGCTACATGTCCCACATATTAAGAAGAAGTTGCTGTCAGTATCTCAATTCACTCGTGATAACAATGTATTTATTGAGTTTCACCCTTTTGAGTGCTTGGTGAAGGATGCACAGACTCGGAACATTCTGTTGAGAGGGAAGCTCACCAGTGAAGGTTTATACCAGCTGCTACCGTATGAAGAGAAGAAATCATGTTGTATGGTGAATAATGTGTCCAAGGCTTCAAGCAGTTTGGAACTTTGGCATAAGCGCTTAGGACACTCGTGTGTGAAGGCTGTCAAAGATGTTATGAAAATGTGTAATGTTTCTTCTAGTGAAAACAAGTTGAATAATGTTTGTTATGCGTGTTTGCAAGGCAAGGCTCACAAACTGCCTTTTTATAATTCATTGACTGAATACAAAGAAATTTTTCAATTGTTTGTGTCAGATGTGTGGGGACCTGCACCTGTAGTTTCGACTGAGGGTTACGCATATTATGTATCCTTTATTGACGTGTTTAGCAGACATATCTGGGTGTATTTAATTAGAAAGAAATATGAAGTCAGCCAATGCTTTCTCAACCTTGTTAAAATTGCTGAAGTTCAGTTTGGGAAGAAAATCAAAGCACTACAAAGCAATGGTGGAGGTGAATACCAAGCCCTGAAGAGTTGGTTTTTTACCAATGGTGTACAACATCGAATCTCCTGTCCCAGCACGTCAGAACAGAATGGGAAGGCTGAACGAAAACATCGCCACATTGTTGAGATGGGACTAGTCATGTTAGCTCAAGCATCACTGCCAATAAAGTTCTGGAGTCATGCTTTTACTATGGTAGTGTATATCATAAACAAGCTCCCATCTGAGATCATTTTAGGCAAGACCCCGTTTGAGATTCTCTATCAGAAAGCTCCCGACTACTCAGGTATGAGAGTATTTGGGTGTGCTTGTTTTCCTCTCTTGAGACCATTTAATCAACATAAATTGGATTTTCGGTCAAGGCAGTGTGTGTTTCTTGGACCCAACACCTCACATCATGGATACAAATGTCTAGACAATGATGGAAGAGTCTTTGTGTCTCGACATGTGAAGTTTGACGAGCAAGTATTTCCGTTTGATAGGAATCAACTTGTGTACAAGTGTCAGAGACAAGAAATTGTCACTACTGGACAGTTGCCTATAGTTTATAATGAGCATGGGGCCACACCGAATTTCAATGTGCCTCTTGGCGTGGTGATAGATGCGCATAATCCAAGTCAGGATGTCATTAGGGTCGTGCCTTTTGAGACGGTTGATGCACGTGGTAATGAATCCAATGCACTTGTGTCTCCTGGCGTGGTGCCCACCCACGTTACTACTCCAACAACCGCACATAGTCCAAGCTTAAATAATGGGAGCTCACATGGGGTCCAAGGCAATCATAGTAGTGCGACAAACATAAAT